TGCTGGGTGGGGGGAGCCATCCTCATCTACTTGGTGGTATTAGCTGCTGGGGGGGAGCCATCCTCATCTACTTGGTGGTGTTAGCTGCTGGGTGGGGGGAGCCATCCTCATCTACTTGGTGGTGTTAGCTGCTGGGGGGAGCCATCCTCATCTATTTGGTGGCGTTAGCTGCTGGGGAGCGGGGAAGCCATGTCGATCTGCCCCAAGCAGCGCTATCCAAAGTGGACACCAACCGGCAAAGCTACCCAGCCCATCTATCTTGCGGCTCTGCCTGCAAGTATACAGAATTACCACATGTGGCCAACTAAAGACAAGGTTGTGGGCCCTGCAGACCTTGCTTGTGAGTCCACGGTCAAGTCTCAACCTGGAAACGTGGACACAGAACCTGCAACTCAGCATGGTGTCTGAAGAGCAGAGGGTGGCCCAGCCATGGATGCTTGTTTTCATCTTTTCCTAACAGATCACGGGGCTGAGGACTCCACTGCCTGAGGTGTGAGGCCCAGAAGCCTCCAGAAGATAGCCTTCGGGTGTTTTCTCTCCTACTGAAACGGTTTTGGGCAACAGCAACAACAACAACAACAACAAAGGCAGAGAGAGACCTGAGTCAGCAGTTAGCACACTCAGCCCTCACTGTGGGGAGCCCGCATTCCCTCAGGGCTCTGCAGACCCCCCCCCCCAGCAAACAACTCTTAACCCCTTGACCTTGGACTCCCCAGCCAACGGAAGTATAAGAAATAAACTTCTTTGCTTTCTTAAAAAAAAAAAAAACTATCAAAAAGTCATGTATACCTCGATTTATTAAGAAATAACTCGAATATTGATCATTGATTCTGAAATGTTTTAAGCCAAAGACTTTTATAAACCAATATTAATTTTCTATAATTTATTTCTATTCAAGTCTCTTTATTCCGCCTCTTACCCATTATTACTTTTTAGTATTTTCTAACATATTGAAAAGAGAAACATTGGAGAATCCCCACAGAGACTTACATAGAATTAAACATTCCAAAGAAAAAAACCCTATACTTTGATATAATATTGGGAATTCTTTTTTATAGTATAAGACATAGGATGACAATCCTTCCAGAATTTTTGTAAGACATACTGGTTTATAATAACAAAGGATCAGTTCTACGCGTGCTGATACTCAAGACACATGCAACTGGTTTTCTTTTTGCAGCCAGGGCCATATCTATGTTAAAACATTCATATCATTTTAATTGTAACCAAATAAAAAAATAATCTCTAGTGTAGACACTTTTCTAAGGCTTTTGGAAATTGGTTGTCTTCAAACTTGTTTTCCATGTGGCTTCAGGACCCCTGGGAACCTATGTAGCTACATTCTTCGTCCAGGAGACTTTATTTTTTCCTAAAAAGAAGCTGCTATTTCAGATTAACATCCTGTAAGTCAGTAACTAGTCACTGATATTTCTTCTTGTTGGAGGCTAGATCTGAGAAATAATAAGGAATTTACATAGTCCAGTGTTTTACTTTTATGTTAAAATTCATTAAATTAGCAATTTAGCATTAATAGGCACTTTTAAAAATCTCGTCCGATTCAAGGTCAGTGTTACCGATGCCAAAGGAAGACATGATTTGCTGGGTCTGGAACCATTTACGGAGTATGAATTCCAGATCTCTTCCAAGCTACATCTTTATAAAGGAAGTTGGAGCGATTGGAGTGAACCCCTGAGAACGCAGACACCGGAAGAAGGTATGTGTCCAAAAAGAAAGGGGAGCAGAACCACCAAAGTACCTGCAGGAACCAGAAAGGGGGATTGCATTAATTAGCAAGTTAATTTGACATTACGTCTCAGAACTGCTCAGGGAGCTATGCTTATGTCACTGGGAGGTTTTTGACATGAAATAAGTCCTGCCCCTGCTGCCTACAAGTCCTGCTCATTACCCGTGTGCCTTGGTGATGTTTGGCTGTGATGTACCCCCTTTCTCTCTATCTCAGTAACTCTTATTCTGTCTGCAAAGCTGTAAGCAATTGATCTCATTTTTATACTTAAATCTGGATACATTTTATCTTTTTGATTCTATCAAAATTAATGTAGTGCTGTAAGTCATACTACAAGTTTGAAAGAAAGCAGACTCTGGATACATATGGATGTCTGATGATTAAGTTCTAGAACTCATCCTAGAAAAAGTGCTACATACTTCATTGCTGAGTATCACTGTGGTCACCAGGTGGCCAAGGGGAGCTCTTCGAAGGCCACCATAGTGATACTCAGCACTGAGGTCTGTAGCACTTCCTCTAGGATGAGTTTGCAAACTTAATTGTCTGAGTTTATAAAATTTAACAAAGCAAGAATCCAATATCCTCAATTCTAATATGAAGGCAGTAGATGATCAATGTAAGAGGGAATAAGGGAATCAGCGGGTGGGGAGAGGGGTGGAGGAAGGGGCATGGGGGGTCACGGTGTATGGCACACCTCTTGGGGGCGGGACACAGTTATCAGAGGGATTTTGCCTAACAAATGCAATCAGCGTTACCTAAATGAATCCCCCAAAATAAAATTAATAAATAAATAGGTTGATAGGGTCAGTGCCCGTAGCTCAGTGAGTAGGGTGCCAGCCACATACACCAAGGCTGGTGGGTTCGAGCCCAGCCTGGGCCTGCTAAAGAACAATGACAATTCCAACCAAAAAAATAATGGGGCCATTGTGGCAGGTGCCTGTAGTCCCAGCTACTCAGGAAGCTGAGGCAAGAGAATCACTTAAGCCCACAAGTTTGAGGTTGCTGTGAGTTGTGAAGATGCCACAACACTCTACTGAGGGTGACATAGGAAGACTCTGTTTCAAAAAAAAAGAAAAAAAATAGGTTTCCATGCAAAAATAAAATAAAATAAAATAAAATTTAACATCCAGCAATTCTCTCTCCTCCAAATAATACAGTATTATACTTCTTCAAGCCTTTGATATTCAGATAGCTCTGAAAAGAACATCAAATGTATTTTTCAATCTCATAAACATTTCTTTTTTGGTAATTATTGGGAAAGCAACTTTATTGAAGTATAAGCAAATATTTTATTGAAGCAAAAATACTTATGTAAACTTAATGCCAATTTTAACAAATCTTTGAAGACACAAGAAATAGCCACCTGAATATTTCTTTTTAAAAGCAGTTATTATAGTGCAGAACTTTTCATAATTTATATAAATTTGGCTCAGAAGAAAAATTATTGGCATATTAGTCCATTGCTCATTATCTGGGGCTTTTGTAATGTTAAGGTGCAAAAATCTAAATGTTTATTTGTGAACCTGTGAATGTGTGTGCAGGTGAACTAGCCTCACGGTTCAGTTGCCTTCACTTCCTCCGAGCTACTAACAGTGTCTGGTGACTGATGATGTTTAGTGATGATACACAGGTGACATTCGAGGGCCCAACGGGCCTGTTAACGGAACCTGGTGCACAGTACGTCATCTGTAGAATAGGCTTTTACTGTGCCTTTCTTCTTGTATTAATTGCATTTGTCTATATTTTAAAAAATGTGTGAGGCTGGGTGTGGCGGCTCTCGCTTGTAACTCCCCCACTTTTCAAGGCTGAAGCAGGAAGATTGCTTGAGGCCAGGAACTCAAGACCAGACTGGGTACATAGCAAGATACTATCTCTACAATAATAATAACAACAACAAACGACTAGCCGGGCCCAGTGGCATGCACCTGTAGTCCCGGCTACTTGGGAGACTGAGACGGGAGGATCTGAAGCCTGAGAGTGCCCGGGCGTGAGCCAGGATGGCCACACTGTACTCCAGTCTGGGCAACAGAGCAGAATCCTGTCTCTAAAAACAAATTAATTCATCTAGCAAGTGGTAACTTATTACTTCTCATTTTGTGATAAAAATCTCTTAAGGTTGAATCTCGCTCTCTGCTTATTGAAGACTTATAAATCAGAGCAGACTCTTAATATCCTTTTATTATACAAAGTAATATTTATTTTTAAAAATACCTTAGGAACTAGATTTTGTTTACATAGTGTATGGGTAAAATTTTTGAAATAGGCCATACTTTATATCCAAGTTCAAGGTAGTAAGTAGGCTGAGAAACATTTAAGTTATCTCATGTTAGGCTAAACTATAAACTCGGGAAACTCAGGGCTTATGAATCCCTGTCATTCTTTCATTGGATAATGGCCTATTAGAGATGCCAGAATGCTTTTGTCTTTTTTTTAGTGTTTAACTGTTACCCTTGTGGTCTGAGCCATCATCATAACAGGAGTCCAGCACCGGGTCATGGCTGTGCTCCCGTATGTGGTTCTGTGACTAGAACGCAGGAAGCCGCTTGCTCTGGGCTGGCCAGCATTTGTGGAGGGAGAAGCCGCACCCTGAGCGGCCTTCTCTAAGTGTCTGGATCTCCCTCTTCTGTGGTTGCTCTTTCTGCGGGTTGTTGTAGGTGCTTTTTTTCTCTTACTTTAAACTGCCTGGTTTTCACCCCTCACCGCTGTTTCTGTCATCAGTTTCTTTATGAAATACCAACTGATGTAAACCTAAAAGGTGTGAAATTTTTTTAGCACGTTTCCCTTTTAACCCTTTTTTACTTATATGTAACTTGGCATTTAAACAATTACTAGTAAGCTTTTTCTTTCCTTTTTTTATTTTTAGATACTCTCAAACACTGTGAATGACTTTGTGCTAGACCTTCTTGCAGCCTGTGCTTCTCGAGGCTGGCAGGACGCAGCCTCCTGGCGGGGTGGGGTGGTGCCCTCACGCAGCTCACCCAGCAGTGGGCAGGGCCTTCTTTGCTTGTATGGCCCTTTCCTGGGCCATTACACTCAGCATCTGTCCTGGTCCTCCAGGAGAAACTTTCTCCATTAATGACACGAAGGAAAGGGTAAGAGAAAAGAAACCACTTCAGCACTGGCAAGAAACAATGGCAGTGTTTAAAAGGACGGTCCTAAAATCCGGGTCCCTCAAAGACAGGCCTGAACCTGGCATGGGGGAGGGGGAAAAGCCTCGCTCTCCTTCTAGTGTGAAATGCTTCTTCAGTTTGGGTTCCAGGTTCCCAGACAGGTCTGAGGACCTGCTGGGTGTTGGGGGCAGGTGATCCCCACCGCTTAGAACCCCTGGGAGGAGACTCCAAAATGCAGACATTCCTTGGAGCATCTCATCAGGGTGTGTTTCTCTCTGTTCATTCACCACATTTTAAAGGCTCATTTACAGGCTGAAGTCTGTTAGGGACAGTCAGTAAACGAGGTGTTGGGTGTTCATACTTGGGCCAGGACACTAAAGGCGATATGTGGCCCCCTCATCAGGGAGACAGCAGGGGTGAGCAGGTAGATGCCGCAAGGGGAGACAGGGACTGCACACGTTACAGCTGCCACCAAAGGGGAGAAAGCTGGTGCACCCACTGGAAATTTTAAAATATCACCATGACAGGCTGGGTGTGGACAAGTGAACGCTAGAAGTTGTTCTGGACGCTGAGAATTCCACAGCCATATAGCTTGGAGGTCAGAGGTTGTTCTGGAC